CGTATATACTCCTCCGCGAAGTAGTCCAGCTCGGCTCGCTCTTCGAATAACGACTGTGGTCGAATAATAACATCGCACACCATTTGCTACGTCTTCTTAGTCATTTGTGAGTGAAATACGTCACAAGCTCCTTGTGCGAATCGTCGGAGTAGCTAGTGTACTCGCAGAAGGGCGGTGAGCGCTCATCCGAAGACGCCATTTTCACTGTGAAGTGCACGTAGAACAAGCGTTTTCGCACTCGCAAAAGCTGAAATGACACTGCATAAAGTAAAACAAACATGGATATCTCCTTGTGGTGTGTTGCATCTTTTTTATAAACAGCATCTCGTAGAAAATACAATGTTTTCAACGAAGGCTGACTCACGCCCACTTTGGCTTCATATATAGCCTTCCCACTAACGCGGATACAAAAACAGCACGAAAGACGGAGCACAAGCAAGAAAACACACACAAAAAAAACAGTGTCGTCATTTGTGTCCTCTTTTTTTCTTGTGCTACGTCTTTCGCGCCATTTTTGTATCGGCCATGTCTTACCAGCCCGCCCAAGCATCCACTTTAAATAGCTTCCCTTCAGTGCCAAGAAAAGTTGGACCACCCTGCCCCATGTCTTCAGAGCCTGTCTTCACTGCAATACAGGGACACTATAATAAGTTAGTAGAGCTACTGTATATGTTACCTTTATATACTACCTAAAGGTAGCACATGGAGGAAGGAATGTAGCTTTCCTTCCTCCATGAGGTATCATTTATGGTAACTATAGGCCACTCTGGAGACGCGTACTCCCTCCCCGCCAGGCTCGGGTTGCCTCCTTTGTCAGGTTGCTTCGGCTGCCAATGCCCAACAAGGGGAAGAATAATCTTGTCCCTGTCTCATCTTCTTCTCGCCCTTTTTTTGCTTGCCTATGCCAGTGCCTCCTTTATAAATGTCTACCAGCATTTATAAAGTTACGTCCGTTGGTCATACTTGAGTGCCAAGCACTCTGGCGCCTAGGGCTACCAAAATTTGTAGCAAACTGTTTTTTTTTTTTTTGCAAGGAATCCCTAATACCTTCTTTGCCAGTTAGATTCAAATTAATAACAGTTCAGACATCCCTGAGAGTCTATTAATCACCGAGAAGACGAGAAGAATATATATTTATCAGTGATCCAGCTCTATTTTTACTGTATAGTCTATACCCAGCAGCTATTGCACACATTATGGAAGTTCAGTGAGTTAGCCATATCATATGATAATATATTCCCTACCAATGTGAAGTTACCATCTAGTAATCTGCTGAATGGTATTTTTCAGGATCACTTAAATCGGATTACTTCGATGGTTGAACAGATCCTTCGCAGTGTGAAGAAAAGGCCGGGGTGGGAATTTTTACCACACAACTAGACAGGTCGTTTTCTTTTAGGCTTACTGATAATACGCTAATAGTTTTTGCCAAATTCTTAGCTGTTATTTTGCCCTACGTAATATTCCTTTATCTAAACTTCCGTGGCTATAGTTACAGATTCATTTTCATGGTGGCACTAACTGTTCCAACAGATTCGTATATTCAAAGATTATTGCGATTGCTCCTTCACCATCTGTGAAACCTGCGATTAATTTGGGTGCCAGGACGTACTAAATAAAGTTGCGGGCTCTCTGGCAAAAGCTTCTCTGGCAGGTCCAGTTCTCTCTCTCCTTCCGGTTACGGCGTTTGTCACGGCAGCAATGTTCAAATGTACGCGTTATCGATGCTTACTACAAATGTTGATTCATTGACGGACCTTCTGTACCTTCGGTTTTCTTGGAGCAGGAAATGGTGTGTAGCAAGGCCGGTAGAAGTTGTAATAACTAGAATGCGTTGTGGAATCCCAAATTTCAATTTTTACATGCACAGAGCGGGCTTGGCAATCTCCCCTTTTTAATGAACACCAAACTATTGAACACTTCTTGTTGAGCTGTCAACGTTTTTTTTTTTTTTGACAAAAAAAAAACGAAGTATCAAAATTCTATTGCGGCAACGTGGTCTACCGGTTACGTCGGCCGTTATATTATTGTTTGGGGCATCTGCGATGGGAAACTAGGACAGGAATGTTTTCAAAGCCGTTGAAAAGTTTATATACGGCTCAAATAGATTTGGTAGCTGTATCAACCGCTAATAATTCTTTATTCTTTCTTCCTAGTCAAAAGATCTTCGGTCATTGGGAGGTTAGGCAAGCTTGGGGAAACTATGATTATAATCCTGCATAATTAACGTTACACTGAAAATATCATCTCGAACCTATTTAAGCTTTTACAATATATTAATCACAAATCCAGTCTGTGTGATCCACCCGGCTCTTGGCTGGTCCCCCCGAGTGATAAGTGCCAAAATTTCAAAGATAAGCATTGTAAGCATCAAACGCCTATGCACATTTACAACGAAGGCTGCTTAGGCGCCCTCCTAATACCCTCTGGGCTTTTGTAAATATGCTTGACTCCCCCCCCCCCCCCCCCCACACACACACAACCGCGGTATGACGGAATCGTTCCCACTCTGCCTGCAAAGTAGGAGTTCAACCTTGCTGCAGTAAGTTTAAGCGTATGTTGGGTACGCCAGCATATTTGTTTTTTTTTATTTTTTGCATCTATGATAAAATATCCAACGAAAAATTAGAACTCGGTGGAAACAAATACTGCGTGAATAGCACATATCAAAAACAGCGGAGCGAAAACTATATCGTCGCACGCCGCTCCACCGCCAAGTGTCCATGACATCGCACATATTCGCGGTCCAAAAACAGTGCAGATGCGAGACCGCACGGCGAGACTACAGATCACGTCGAAGGCTTCGGGTCTTTTTGGGACTTTGCTCTTCTTCGGGGGAGCTGGTGGTCGGCGAGTCGGGCGGCGAGCCCTCGAGCTCCGTGCCCTGCGCGGGCGACGCAGTCTCCGACGACGCTTCTCTCAGGCGGCTGGTGTACGCGTGCAGCCGCGACAGCACGTACACCTGCGGAATGCGGGCAACGCGGAGTCGCATGCGGAGTTAGCGACTTATTCGCATACAGCGAAAGCCGGCCACCCACCCCTCGTCGTTGGTACAGTTCAAGAGACAATATGCTTCAAAATAAGTTTAAAACGAGGAAGAAAATGAAATCTGGCGTGTTCTCGCAACGACCTGTTTTAATTGGACTTTCCTGTGGTAAAAAATGGAGCAAAAGAAAGCAGGGAGGCTTCACCCGAAGACTGAGGTAGCAGCGGAGCCGGTGGTGTTCGCTTCCTCCTAACGTCATTTCTATATCTTCCCGTTTTTTTTTTAAATCTATATCTGCATTTCACGCTTCCTCTATCTTTTTCTTGCTGCCGTTCAATCTCCGTTTCCCATTTTGCACCCCTGTCTCAGTAAATGCATGTCTTACTCTCTCTCCTCTTCCTCCTCTCCTCACCCGAACATCTGCCCACTCATTCACTCTCTTTCCTACGACGATGCTATGCTGTCATCTGCTAGTGCTTCCTAGTTGGCAAGCACTCTCAAATCATGACAGGTGAATTGCCACTATCCCTCAAGAGGAAGGTATGTACCAGCTGCATCTTGCCGGTACTTAGCTATGGAGCAGAAACCTGGAGACTTACAAAGAGAGTTCACCGTAAATTGAGGATGACGCAGCGAGCAATAGAAATAGAAATTGTAGGTGTCACCTTAAAAGACTAGAAGAGAGCAGAGTGGATTAGGGAACAAACGGGGGTTAAGCATATCATAGTTGAAATCAAGAAGAGGAAATGGACATGGTCTGGGCATGTAGCGCGTAGACAGGATAATCGCTGGTCATTAAGGGTAACTAAGTGGATTCCCAGAGAAGGCTAGTGGGTTAAGGGGAGACAGAAGGTTAGGTGGGCAGATGAGATTAAGAAGTTTGCGGGTATAAATTGGCCGCAGCGAGCACAGGACCGAGTTGACTAGCGGAACATGGGAGAGGCCTTTGTCCTGTAGTAAACGTAGTCAGGATGATGATGATGATGATGATGATGATGATGATGATGATGATGATCTGCTAGCAGCCGCTCGCCTTCGAATCTACTATACACCTTTCTCCCATGCATTCCCCCCTCCAGCAGGCGCTGCGCCATGCTCCCTACAGGGCTGCAGAAATTGGGCGCTTTCTCTTTCTTCTAACCACTACCACCACCTTCTATGAAGGCACATCGTCGTGTCGCCTTATGGCAGACAAAAGCTAGGTGCCTTCCTCCTTTCTTCAAGAACCAATACCACAACCACTTTCGTATAGTGTATACGCTGGATCTAATGTCGCCTCGCAAAAGAACTTTTTTTACCCTGGAATTTCTGTCTCTATCTTTCTCTATCTCTATACTCGCCGTATCAGCCGTGGGGTGATTGGAACGCGTGGTGCTTGTGTATCGGAGTGATCGGAGAAAAAGATCAAAAAGCGGTACCAAGAGAGCGCGTTAATTCAATGTAACGATGCTATTCTGGTGACACCGAACTAACTACGGCGATATACTTAAAGAAATTGGAAGTTAACTTATCTTGCAATGCAACATCCTTCGGCTGTCATTATCGTGTACAGGCTGTGTGGCCAGCTCTTTAAACAATGTGGAAGTACGGTCGAGTAAACGTGTGAACGAATTTCGCACCCCCCGCCCTCCAATTTAGGGGGTGGGGCCTGCCTCACTCATGGGTACACATAGGCTCATAGCCGTATTACATTCGTGCAGTGTTGTGGAGGCTAGGGCTCCTTACCGTCATACACAGCTGACGTAGAGTCAAGTTCCACCCCCACCCCCCGATATTCCTGTTCGTAGCTTGAATGTAATGAGCATGCACACACAAATATCGTGGGGGGGGGGGGGGGGGTAGTTGGCGACGCATAGAGATCATGGCCAATCAGCTATCTTTTTTTTTCTTATATGGCATGGGGATTCACTCACGATGTGCTTTACATATGCGATAGCGTTATTTGCGATGTCTCGTCATGCCATACGTGAATGTCACACACCGAGGATATGTGAAAGGTCAAACAACCCGCTCATACAGTGTGTGTCTCAAGCTATATTTGAGTGTTTGAGTCACTAGACAAACAAAATTTGTTGACTGTAAAGTTAAATACAAACCTCGATGACCAGCCAGAACACCCCATACCACAAGCGTAGCTCGGTAGGTATCTGTAACAGAGAAAGGCTTAGCTTGACCTACGCGAAAGCATCCGTTCATGCTGTGATAAAACTTCAATTCATTCAGATGCCCAAAAGAATTGGCATAACAGGACGTGCCCGCAGAACCAGCTATTTGCCCGTCTGCAACGAACTCGAGGTACCATTACCTCGTACCGGCGGTACCACCGCATACTTTGTGACCACTTTTACTATATCCCCAGCTGTTCAACGAAACTTCACCACCCATTTATTTCACCATTTCGTATGTATTACCTGGAAATCGAGAGCCAAATGATTCTTTTAAAGCTAAGAGGCGCTTCTGTGCTGCTTCTGTTTCCTTCATTTGTGTGATTGAGATTATTTTACGGATGAGTTTTGGTGCTGCCATGCGGGAGTGTTAACATTGTCGTTTTTAAGCAAACGGACAGCGATACCAATGCATACGCATGAAAATGGTGGGGCTTGTGAATTTGGCTTTTCATGACCTTGTTTATTTCTAGTAGATGAGTGTCTATTATGCCTATAAAGATATGAAAAGTGCGCCACAAAAGAACATTTTAGTGCAAAACAAGTCACAGAAGTCGCCGACCGTAAATTTCGCCCAGCTCCGGCGACCGCCATTTTACGTGACGTCATCAGCTGGAAGGAGCCGAGCTCTATAGTCTCTTAAGGAATTTTAGCCGCTGTAAATTGTTCACTTTCGGTGCCAAGCTAGAGAAAGCCAAGTGGCTCCTTTAATTAAATTACTACTCTAACATCAATGACCTTACCCAACTCGCAATCTTGATAACGTTGACAACAGTTCTTGGCTGAAATAAAAACACGAAATCTTACACTTTCCAACTTTGTAGGTGAGTTTACATCAAAGTATCAAATGCACTTACAATTGAAAGTGTTTCTAGCTTAGTAAATGCATCTTTGCTGCGGCATTGACAAAAACCTGTAAAAGAAGACTGCCGCACTTACCAATACGAACAATTCGTAGCATGCTACAGTCGCAGTGTAAATAAAGTTGCCGCACGTCCTGATGACCATGGCTGAATAAGCGAACGACATCCCAGGTAAGTAGTCCTGCAAAGTACACGTTATCCTTCTTAGTGCATATATATGAGCTGCTTAGTTTCTGGAATTACGATGTTTCCTTTCGTGGATCCTTTTCACGTAAGTTCGATGCGCTAGCATACGTACGCCGAGTCCACTCGACTATCGTTCACAGAAAACGGGAAGACTTAGACGTAGATATATATGGCCTACATTTTCAAATCGCATGCTCTGTCATGTATACGTTAGAACGGTGCTTCTCGAAAAACAACAACATAAATTATTGATTCTGAAGTGCATGCTCCGAATCTTACGTAACATGCCTATTTTTTTTATTAATTTAGGCAGTACAGTTTTCTTTTGTTGTATTATTAACCTTGCATCGCTCAGTACGCTGCCCTACTCTACTACCTCGCTGCGTACAGTTTTCTTTTGTTGTATTAATAACCTGCCATCACTCAGTACGCTGCCCTACTCACCTGCCTCGCTGCGTAGATCCAGTAGAGGCACATGAAGAAGTGCACCGTCTGCAAGAACACGTGGAGGCCCAGTCTCGAGAACCGCTCGGGCCGATCTGGAAACAATTCGCACGGTCATCTGAGGCAACAACAAATGCACTTCTCGGTGCCTCACAGTTGCCAGTAATTGAGTCGAAAGAGCGCGAAAAGGGAACACGCAGCTATCAAACGCTTTTCTGACAAGTTTTTACAGACTTAAGAGCAGCTTCTCTAAAAAAAAAAAAAAGAGCACGAGTTGTTACTTCTGGAGCATTTCGAATTTGTCATTGCCATCGTAGTACGTACGTTGCGTAACATGTGTGAGCTGATTTTCTTGTTACGCTGAAGCACACTCACACAAGAAACACAAGACGATTGAACAAGCACGTCTTGTGGTTCTTCAGTGAGCACAGGCGTTCGCAGCGCCCTCCTCTCTTGTGTAATTATGTTAATGTATGGGGCTGACTCTACGCCCCCTTCCTAAGTGACTAGGGAGAACCCCCCCCCCTCCCCTATGATCACGCAGTGCACGCCTATATGAAATGTTCTGCAGCGCTACAATGTGTACGTTAGCAAACACGGATTTGCCCAGAAACACGTTCTTCCTGCAAGAACAACTAAACAAACTTCACGGAACATCCTTGCTCTCTAGGATTTCACTTTGACTCTGCGACAGGGCACTTGCTCGCTGCAATGACCAAGTGGCCATGGTGCTGTGCTGTATAGATGTCGTAAGGTCGCTGGTTCGGTACCTGAGCACCGCGTTTGTCATTTCTGTGAAGCTGGAGCGGATAAACATTCATGTGCTTTTATTCCGGTCCTCGTTCATTTCGACCACGAAGGTGATAGGAATCGCATTTTATGATTGTTTATTGCGCTTAACTTTTATGTCTTCCACGCACTGTGAGTCTATTTTTAGAGTATGCATGCACGTTATATCACGGCCTGCACAAATCGGTTATGACTGCACACATTAACTGTGCATGCTCACCGGCATAATCCGAGAGGTCGTTGATGGCTGAATAGCCGAACCGAGCTTCGAAAATGGTTGTGATGGCCACGACGGTCTGCAAGTGCGAAACAACCAACCGACCATGACGCTTATACAAACCTCCAAAGTTTTCGAACACGCCGTATGTAATCTGTACAAACATACCGCTCTTTGTTCCGTAATAATTTGAACAGAAAACTGCGAAGGAGTTTTTTAAAACGGAAACGTCTTAACTACGGGTATAGTGTTCGAGAAGCAGTGGTGATGCATACTAGCATGATAAAGTATTTCTGTGCCTTGGGCTAGTTGAAATAGCACAGTATTTTTGGACACGCTCGAAAAACGAGAACATAGTGCGGCACACAGAAAACCACAAGCGCTTGCGTATATGGCTTTCTGTGGGCCTCAATAAGTCTGTTTTCTAAGTGCATCCAAAATACAGTTTGATAAATGAGTATGCTTGTATGTACAGGTGGACAAAAAAAAGGTGCATAGTTAGTGGAGCTGCTGAACAGAATTAAATGTAGCGATTCATAGCTAGTACCATCAAAGCGGCAGGATATGCATTTATATATTACCACATCAATATATGTACATGCTAAAGCCTATATTTAAAGTCAATATGAAGAACATAGTTTCGCAGTCGTTCTCGGTTGTTCACCTGTACGCGGTGGCTCTATAGCTCTTCAATGAGACCTGACTGTTGTCGTTACCCAGCTAGCTTCAAGGTGTAATTTTTGTCGACATGGCCTCATCGAGTGTGAGACCCATGGGACGGCTTCATGCTCTCCCATAGTAATCTAAATCGTTAACAATTTTTTATAAACACACATTTTCTCAGAACTTTTTCGAATGGATGCACCATGAAACGTGTGGCACTGCTGAGGGAGCCAAAGTGTATACGCATGCCGTCGTATACGCATAATGTCCTAATTTTATGTGGTTCACGATGTGTATTTAAAGAGAACGCCGTGGAAACTTACGGTGTAAATAATGATGGCCTTCTTCGTGCCGCTATTGTTCTGCCAGAACTCGGAAACCATAGTTCCTGAAAGGACAAAGCAGAGAGTAGACTTTGACTTTCGACATATCTCGCGCACACATCGACAATGACTCTGTAGCCCCGGAACGGCCAACGGATTTGCTGTTCTCCAATATTCTCACTCGTTAAGACATGTAATACTGTTGAAGTCCATGAGAAGCCCTATAGTCCATCATAGGTGTGCGCACAAAGTTCCCGCTACTTCTTAATCACCTGGAGGTATACTACTGTGCAGCAGCCCCCTCGTTCCTTTCTAATGAAGAACTGTACACATGCCCATGCAATACTACGATTACCGGTTCATATATTCTGCGCGAAACTAAGAAAATTCCCACCCCAGGCAGAGTTGCTGCTGACGTAAACTTTGCATTGTCAGAACGGATTCACGACGAAGTGAATTCTTTTCTGTCAATATGTTTACTCCTTAGGCTAGCAGCACTTGGATATGAATGCGTATAGTTTAAAAGCAGTCGGGGTGACCCAGTGGTGCTCAGCTGCTTACTCTAAAGATGCGGATTGGATTACAGCCGCGGCTGGGGCGTTTAGAAGCAAGGCGTTTGAAGAGAATTGAAGGTCGCATGGAAGCGAAGTGTTTAATGCCCGTGTACTGTGCAATGCCAGTGCATGTTCAACAGTCCAAGAACCACACGCGGAGTCCAGCACTGTAGCGTCTTTCATCGCCTGAGTCGATCTGCGACATTGACCACCCTCACCGCGAAGGTCTATAGTGGTTATGGCACTCTACTGCTAACCCAGTCGCGGGATCGAATCCCGGCGGCGGCGGCTGCATTTTCGATGGAGGCGAAAATGCGTGAGGCCCATGTGCTTAGATTTAGGTGCACGCTAAAGAACCCCAGGGGGTTGAAATTTCCGGAGCCCTCCACTACGGCGTCTCTCATAATCATATGGTGGTTTTGGAACGTTATACACCAGATAATATTACTATCTGGGGCGTTAAACCCCTTACAAACCAAGCAAAACTATGTACAGTTCAAATTAGAAGGCGATCTTAAATATCGTTTTCCACAAAGGATGGTGACGTTCAGTCTTGTTCAGACTTACCTTAGTGTAGGTGCATCATGGTTTGATGACGAGCTGAAGGAAATGTTCTGTCACTTTGGCAGTAGTAAAGCTATATATCGAAGCATACTCGATGTGGTGCCTGCGAGTATAGCCTATCTTTTAGTCAACACCGTAGCGCAGGAGGTTGTATGTCTTCCTAGGCCGCGGAACAGCCAGAACGGGTTTGTTAGCTGTTCCTCTAGGGATGGCTCATACCCACAACGGGGTGGAGTCCTGAAGGACTCTGCCTTATACCCACTAAGAAGTAATGACCGTACTGGCTGCGGTTCGCATGAAATTCGAAGCCGTTTATTACTATCATACAGAAGGGCAGGAGTGAAAGTGTGTCGGTAGTACGAAAAACGTTGCAAATGTACTTCTGCCACACACGCCAATACAAAAAAAAATCATTCATTGTTTGGGGAATTGGAACCTCTTTCTAAAGAGAACACTTAAAGAAATCCGATTTGCACTAGGAGTGCCAAGCCATCAGGAAGCGCGGAGCTGGGCAGTCTTCTTTGTATAAGGTATACGCTCGGAGCGTTACGTACGGTATACACATGGTATACACACGAAGAGTTACGCCAAGTGACGACGACAACACACGACAGCACGGCCCTGAAAAGTGCTACGTCCTTATGGACACAAGAAGACATATATAGTGACACAAGAGTACGAAAGCGTTACACTTGGGAACTGTCTCAAAAACACGTTTTCGTCCAAAGGACCTGTTTTGGGGCGAGTTGGTTCTTACTTGGTACATATATGTACGTCTGACGTTATTCCATCTCGAATTCTCAAATTTCGACACAGAGTATTTAGATGCGCATTATAAATGTACCCGTCTTTCTTAATACGAGCGTGCAACTCATCTAGTGGAGCAAATGATTCATAAAAAATCACAGCATATCCATGGAGTGAATGATGATGAGTGAGGCGAAGACTGAGGCGCAAAAAACTGAAACATTCCCACTTACGAATGTTTTTTGCGCCTCAGTCATCTGCACCAAATGTGCTAAGCCAAACCTCGCAGAAGAGAATAAAAGCGGTGAAATTTGTGGCGCCCGCCCGCCCCGCCCGCCCGCCCGCCCGCCCGCCTGCCTGCCTGCCTGCCTGCCTGCCTGCCTGCCTGCCTGCCTGCCTGCCTGCCTGCCTGCCTGCCCGCCTAAACCCGCCTAAACCCGCCTAAACCCGCTAAACTTAGTCCATCTCTTGCTACTCTATTTATGGCCCATCCTTCATGCTTTGGTGTTATGCGCTGATAGAGAATACGAGTAAATCATCATCGCACCTCCACCGCCTGCTGCTGGCATTTTCCAATTCTGGCATTGTGTGGTATTTGAATGACCATAGGGAAACTTCATCTTTAATTGGCAATGCCTTATCTGAAAATTACTCAATTGCTAACTTTCATGAAATGTTGAACGATCC